AACAAACAAAAAAAGAATTGATGCCCTTGAGTTGTGAAGCTGAAAAAAAAGTGCTGAGTATTCCATGGACTGCCAAAAGAACAAACAGATATGTCTTGGAGAAAGTGCATCTAGAGGGTTCCATAGAGGGAAAGGTGGTGAACCTTCCTCACACAAACTTTGAGCTTGTTGTCAGCAGAGGCTATTCCTTGGAAACAGGTATCATGCTTGGAAAGGTGGAAGGTCAGTGAAAGAGAAGACCCTCAGCAAAATGGATTGACCCAGTAATTGTGCCAATGGATTCAAGTGGATTGAGATGATAAGAATGGTGCGGGTTAGGACCATGTTCAGATCTTTTGTTCATAGGGTTACTATCTATCAGTCATCGAGTCACTTGACTTGATGACACTTTGTAGTCCTACTTGGGTTTCCCAGTGGAATAATCTTGTTGGTTTAATCCATTGCATTGTCTTTTAACAGGCATAGCCCAACCTTATGGTAGCTTATTGATGGTTCCCACACCAAACCAATTTCATGTCCCTGGGGAGCAGAGTCATGTGCTCATCAATGGCAGCTAACTATGGGAGGCCATTGCTGCTTTCTTTTCTTTTCAGTTTGTTTTTTTGTGTGTTTTTTTTTTTCATTGCTGCTTTCTAATGGGTTGCACCACTCTTTTTTTTGGTCAGAACTAAATTCCTTTTTAAAAAACTTCTTCATTTTTTAAAATTTATTTTGAGATTTTGATGAAAGTTTATAGAGAACTAGGATTTCCATTCATTCATTGTTGCACATTTTCTTCCCTACCCATCCCCCCATTCACTTTTCTCTTTGAAAGAAAAATCTTTCATGATTGCACAATTTCCTGTACACCCCCCTCCCCCCCATTCCCTGTCCACTTTGCTATGCAGCTCTTATTCTGGACTGTTGTCATGCAAATAATACCTAATCATATATTCCTGGTAAACAATTCTTTCTCTCATCTGTTTCAATACAGTGTACATTATTTATCCCCTCTTTTATTAGCTTCTCCTGAACCCCCATGTCAGTCCTGTTTTATAACAGTGGCATTATGCAGTATTTGTCCTTTTGTGACTGAGATATTTCACTTAGCATAATGTCCTCCAGGCTCACCCATTTTGTATAATATTTTATGAGTTCCTTGTTTTTCAGTGCTGAATAGTATTCCATTGTGTGAATATACCACAGCTTCTCGGTCCACTTGTTTGTTGATGGACACTTGGATTGTTTCTATCTCTTTGCTATTGTGAACAACACAGCAATAAGCATAGGTGTGCAGCATCACACTTTTAGAAGTTTCATACTGTCTTCTTTTATTTTTATCTTATCTCTCTACCTACATAGAGGAAAATGACCATGTTTTCACCTTTAACATATGGCCTGGAGGGGTCCCAATCACCTAGGATGTTTATTTAAAATGCAGCACCCAGACCCCCCACAAATCTAGTGAGCTCAAGTCTTTGTGGAGGAAGCTCCAGCACTTTCTCTTATTAAGTGCCTGGCGCCTCAGATCCCTAGCCTTGCCTGGGGACCACCATCCTGGGACACCTGGAAGCAGGAAGTCATTCTGGAATGTGTGTCCTGGGTCAGCAGGCACATTAGCCCTGCCAGGGAGCCTCTGCTTGCCTTCCTATGATGTCTACAGGTCTCCTGTAGAAGAGAGGGTTTGGGCTCAGGAAGGGAACCATTCTGATTCCCACTTTTACCATTTCCCTGTGACCTGGGCAGGGGACAAAATTTGCTAACAAAAAAAAATTATTTCACATATGATTTTTTAAGATATTAGGGTCAATAATGTAGATGAAAGTTAAGCACTAGATTCTTTCCTTGCCTATGTCAATGTTCCTATGTCTTTGTTATTTTTTTTATTTTTAAAAAATTTTATTTTGTTCCTATGTCTTTGTATAAAAATGTAACATATACCTTGTTTTGTGTCTTACTTTTAGATATGTTGATACGTTATTGTCCCTAACAAGGAAAGACTTTCACTACTTCCTGTGTGCTTTGTCTTATGATCCAACAAAACATTCAGGTAAGGGTTTATTTGTTTTTCCCAGATGCCCCTTTTAAAATGATGATTTAATGATATGACGTGATGTTGTTGTTAGAACCAACTTATACCTGATTCTCTAAGCGGGTTTTCAGAGGCTGTAAAACACGCAGGAGGAGATTTCCCATGTTTCTCCCATGCAGCAGCTGTACGATTCAAAATATCAGACGTGGAAAGAATTATTTCCTACTCATGTGCCTTATGGGGAACTCTGGTTCTACTATAGTCCATAGGGAGTTGAATTGTTAGCCAGATGTGAGGTCTCTCTGCCAATTTGAATCCATCAGCCACTCTGAGGTAGAAAGATGAGCAAGCTGGTCTTGTGTGATTCACAGCCTCTTGAAAACCTGTTTCAGGGTCAGCTGTGAGCCAGTTACAACGAGTTGAGTTGTTCATTTATGTCATATTAGGAAGTGATGGTGGTGGTGGTGGGGTTGTTAGGTTCTGTCGAGTCAGCTGTGGTACATAGTAGCCCTGTGAACAAAAGGTCTGAACCTTGCCCTCTGGTGGATCATCTTCACAGTCTCAGAGATTCTGAAGCCCATCGTTACAGTCACTGTGTCAGTCCATCATATTGAGGGTCTGCCTTTCTTCCTCTGACCTTCCACCTTTCCCAGCATAGATGTCTTTTTCCAAGAACTGGCCCCTCCTGAGAGTATGCCCAAAGCATGCACTGATTGTAAATCTAAATAGGAAGAAACGGCCTATATTTCTCCATTGGAGCTGCTGATAGGCTCCAACCACTGATTTTTCCATTAGCCTCGCAGCATGCTACACACTTCACTGAAACCCTTTCCACCACAGAGCTTAACTAATTCTCTGAGGTTGAGTTGGTTCCAACTCATAGCTGACCCAGCACCAGGTTTCAGAAGTGGTACCTCGCCTAGGAGGACATGGGCCATCTTTCTCGCTTGGAACCAGTAGGAGATTTGAACCACTGGAGTCCTGCAGCCTGTGGGTTTTCACCACTGTCTGCTATGGACTATGCCACCAGAGCTCCCCTTTCAGAGTTTCTTGCTGCTGTTGTTGTGAAGTGCCATCAAATCAGAACCAACTTGTAAGCTGACCCTCCAGCAGGTTTCCAAGTTCAGGACACCTTCTCTGCCCATTGGTTTGGGGGGAAGGTGGTTGCTTCTCTTTAGCTTTTTCTTTCCTCGGCTCATTGGACTCTCTTGGTATCCATCTTCCCCCACCTGTCCTTCCTTGCTTCTGTGTCCAATCTGTTATTTTAATAAGTCAAAAGCAATTGGTTCAAAACACACTCTCCACTTACTTGGTTTTATTAACATAACAGAGATAGTTCTATTCCCAGAGGTGTTTGCATCTACAAGTGTTGGAATTGTTATTGGTAGACGCCTCATCGTAGCCCTGTACACTACAGAATGGAACACAATTCAGTTCACACCAAGGAACGATGCACATTTTCCCTGCCCCCTCTATCTATGCCATTCTTTCATTCCATTCTCCTCTAGTTTACCATTCAGAGTTTAAACTGTAGAAGAAGGAACAATAGCTGTCATCAATGTAAAGAAAGGAGCAGAGGTATCAAAACCATTAAGCATTCTGTGAGAAATGAAAAGATTGGTGGCTTGAAACTACCTATTGCTCCGTGGTAGAAAATACCTGATAATCTGCTCCTATAAGATTTATTGCTATTAGAGAGTTTTAAGAGGCAGGAAATTGCATGGAAAGAGATTGCCTATGTTTCTCCCATAGAGCAGCTGGTGAATTTGAACCACATGCCTTTGAGTTGGCAGCACATTTCCTTACCATTAGTCCACCAGCGCCCAAGCCAGCTCCAACTCATAACTATCTCATGTACAAACAGATGAGAATCCTGCTGGATCCTAAACCATCTTCACAATCTCCATTGTTACAATCACTAGGTCGGTTCTTCTCTTTGAGGGTCTTCCTCTCCTTCAGTGTTCCTCTCTTTTTCCAAATATGATGTCCTTCTTTGTGGATGGGCCCCTTCTGATAACATGTCCAAGGTGTCACAGTCCTTGGTAGAAAACCCGATGGGCAGTTCTACTCTGTCACATGAAATAGCTATATTTAAGTCAGAATCCATTCAAGGATACCTAACAAAAATGATGTAAGGGAAACTGCATGAGGAAGAAGGAAGGAGAGATTCAGTAGCCCCACGTGGATGTAGTGTGTCCATCTCATCCATGATAGTGATGATGTATTAGGTAAATGCACACACACAATCACTTTCATAGGAAAACAGATGAGAAGGTTGGCGTTGGGGAGGAGCAGAGAGATGCACAAGAAATTTGGAAACCACTCATTTTTAATTTCCTATGTCTTGGAACTTGTCCTCTTCTGTCTTTTATTACTATCTTTGTCTTGAATTTATAAAAGGGCTATTTTAATGTGGATTTGCTTTTGTATAAATGAACAGGGACTTTTATTTTCAGGAGGAAATTAAAACAAAAGGCACAAACGTCTTTTTGTAAAAATTCTTATTTCAGTTTTTAATTGAGGTTATTGTTTTGATTTTTTTTTAAATAAAAAGTTTTACTTTATAAATATTTACATCTTAGGGAGGTTTGTTTTTCTGTCTGAATAAACCAGATATTTTAAAAACTGATTAAAAATGAGATTTAGTGCCCATAATTAATTCTAAGACAATCAGATGAAAATGGAAATTAAGGGAGGCAGAAGTTAGCTCTGTTAATCTGATTTAAATTCCACTGGTGAACAAAAGGCCAAAGGGTGTGTGATAAGAAAAGAAGGTTATATCAGGCTGTGGGGGCTCCAAGATATCTCTGGAAAGAACTGGGAACTGAACATTTCACTGGAGAATAAGATATTAAAGCTCCCTATGGACGGCCAAAAGAACAAAGAGCTAAGTCTTGGAAAAAGTGCAGCCAGCATGCTCCTTGGAATCAAAGATGGCAACGCTTTATATTTCATACTTTGGACATGTAGCTAGGCAAGGAGGAGAAGACGACCTCCAAGGAGATAGATTGACACAGTGACTGCAGCAACGGGCTCTGGTGTGTCTGACATGATGAGACTGGCACAGGATAAGGAAGGGTTCAGGTTGGTTGTTCAGGTCAATAGCCATTCAATAGCCCCTAACAACAATATAAAGGAAATGCTTAGCCCCAGAGTGGGAGGATGGGAATAGGAGTGGGCAGGGGATTTGCAGGGTGGTGAAACTTGAGAAGATCAACACCCTAGAGGAAAGGAGATTCCGGTGAATTTGCTAATGTACTTCATGGTGGCCAAGTGGTAAAATGCTGCTGCTGCTGCTGCAATCCTAAAGCAGTGTGGTTTCAATCTATCAGCTGCTCTGCTAAAGAAAGATGGGCAGTCTCCCTTGGGATTAAACTGCCTCTGAAAACCCCGTGGAGGGTCAGTTATGTATGGGTCGGTTCTGACTGAGGATACTCAAAAATAATAACAACTCCATGGGTGGTAGAAACAGTTAAGCACTTGACTTCTACCTAAAAAGGGAATTCTGGAGGCTTGGTCCATAGGGATCCCTGGCAGTCTACTTGTAGTACACAGGGTTAGTCCACAGGGTGTTGTGCTGCTAGCTCAAGGGCACATGTCAGATTTGTGGGAGAAAGATGTTCAGTCTCTTCCCGTTCACAGATTACAGCCTTGGAGTTGGCACCAGCTAAATCGCAGTGAATTGAGCTGTTGTTAGGTGTCATTAAGTCAACAACAAATCATAGGGACCCGAGGAACAGTAGATCTGAACCTTGCCCTGTCTTTCGCTATCCTAACTTCAAAATTAACAGTCCAAACCTACCCAAAAGTGCTCCACAAAGTGCCTGGCAGTCTTTCCCCTAAACCTTTGGCCGTAGCATAAATTCCTACTCACAGTGACACTGAAGGATAGAGTAGAAGCACCCATTGGATCACCAAGCCTCTAAATCTTTATGGAGGCAGATGGCCTGCCTTAACTTTTGCCCTCTAAGAGGCTGATAGTTTTGAACTACTGACCTTTTGGTCAGGAGATGAATTCTTTAACCATCATAAAACCAAGGTTCCTTTCTGGCCGTTTATTTCCTAAAAAAACCCAACCAGTGAAAACCTTAAGGAACGTCGTTTTACTCTGTAACATAGGGGCTCACTATGAGTCAGTCAACTCCAGCGGTGATAGAGTGGTATTAATAAGTTCAGGATTATTCAGACACGTGGTATTGCTGTAAAACAGTTTGACAACATGGATTCCCAGCCTCAAAAACTGATTGAACTATCTAATTAACATTTGCTTTGTCCTCAAACCTATAGTCATGCAGATTTTCTTAAACTGTTTACTGGGGAAGAAATGCTTTTCTTTCCTGAACTTCTAAAACTGTTTTCTCAGCCATATGTAAACTTTGCCTTAAGCTGTATGTTAACTAGAAATTGTACGTAAATTATCCTTTTGAATGTAAGAACTCTTTGAACTAGAGATAGTAATAGGATATGTAGATTCATAGCCCAACTCAAGGCAATAACCATCTTTAGCAGAGGAGGCAGTTTTTGGAGAATTCTGTCAGCTTTCTCAGATCTGCAATAAAGTGCTTCAGATATTGCAACCTGTCTGTCTTACTGGCAAGTGACTACAGAAACAACCCGTTGTGTTAGTTAACAGTGGCAAAAGGTTTAGGGGCTTTCAGGTTTGGTTTTTTACACCATTCTGCTTTTGATCTTCCCATGGCTGCCTCTGCCATTTTTTCTAAACTGTAGAAAAGCATGCTGCATTGCTCTCTCCTCTGTAAACCTATTTACTTATTTGCTATGAGATGGGCAAAGAAGGAAAAGAGAATAAAGAGCAGAAAGCTTTGTAGAAGGAAGATAATAAGGAAGAGGAGTCACATTGTCTATTTGAATAATTAAGTTGTTTAGTAAGTGAACACCAAGTCCTCGTCACACACTGGTCCAGAGCTCTGCTAACTAGAAGGTAGGTGGTGAAATGTGCAAAAACTCTTTCTTTTTATCTCTTCACTACTTGCTACTGTTTCCCATGAAAGGTTGAGCTGAGGTGACTATAAATAAGTAAACAGATACACACATGGTGATTTAGCAAAACACGTGGAAAAGTTTATTAAGGTAATGCAAAGGAGGCATGGGTGGTATAAGATAAAGATAGGTTGTGCGTGTGAAAGGAATTAAAAAGAAAGAAGGAAAATGGGGTGAGTGGAAGCCCCCTGGAAATTCTGGAGTGGACCCAAATCTTTTGTCAGGAAGTCCACAGAGAAAGAGAATAGCTTTAGGTGGGTACTGCTTTTTATTGGCTCCTAGTCCTGTGAGACTGGTCTTAACTTAGCCCAGATTAGGGACCTGTGGGATTGGTTAAGGTTTGGACACCCTGCATTCTTAATGAGGAGGTTTCTTCACTTGATGCATCTGTCTTTGACTTCCCTTCCTATTTCCTCTGAGAAACCTTACTTTTAGTCTTCTCCTGTGAAAGTGGGAGAGACAGAGAATGACAGGCACCGACCAGGTAGCAATTCCATCCCTTAACAAGTGGCACAACCTCTCTTCCCCCCAGCTGCTCTGAGGGAGAAAGGTGTGACAATCTGCTTCCATGAAGATTACAGCGCAGGAACCCACGGGGGCACCTGTATGCTGCCCTTTAGAGTCATTTAGGGTTAGAATAGACCCAATGGCACACAGTAATGTCCTAGAGTAAGTATAGCTTTGTTCTTGGGAAAATTGAGGATTCCTGAGAATTTCTCCTTAGACTCACAAAATATATAGAAAAATTTTTTTCCTTTTTTTTCACTATAATTATATTTTATTAATTTTCATAAACATTTACA